CTGCTTGTCTTCAACCTAACACCTCCTGTCACCTGCCCTGGGCAGGGAACCCATTTGTCTCGGTCTGTGCCAGGTCCACAGCCTTTGGTGCCCCCCTTCCATTGCCCTGCCTCCCCGACCAGTCACCCCAGTCACTCTCACCCAGCCTTCGGTATATCCTGTGGGCCTGGACCACTGAAGGTATCATGTGATCGTTTTTTTTTTAAGTTATTGTAAATAAAAAATGTTGGATAATAAGAGAATTGAGAAGTGCAAGTTTAGTATATACTTTTTTACTGATACATGAATGTTAAGTGTTCATGTGTTAATATCCCACACAAATGACATATTTTAACCCTACAGTTTATATTTCAAGTGCCACGGTCCACATCCAAACAGCTTCCTTTTAAGACTCCGAGTCCCTTCTATCTCTGGTCTGCAGTTGGTCTGCAGTCCCTTCTATCTCTGGTCTGGAATGAATTTCTCTAAAATCCTTAATTAAGGTAGCAGACTTCAGTGAAATAAATATTTTAGTAGATAAGGCAAATATTTTCAGCTACAGTGAGGAGTTGGGGAGAGGTCATAATTTTAAATCTATCTCAGGTCATATAACGCTTGATCATAGTTCTAAGCAGCAATGTTGGATCAATCCTGTACTCCAGAAAACTGGGAATGAAGTTACTTTTCTTTTGTCTTTCGATAAGCAGAGTGCAGTTTTCTGAAAAATCATAGCATAATGCATTATTTTTCAGGATGAAGCACATGAAAAAGAGAAACCTATCAGAATATACATTCATTTTAAGGTTTTATGATTCCACAGATACAATAAAATGAGAATAATTCTGTAGGATTCATTTGCAATGGAATTTCCATATTACAATTCTCTCTTGGACTCATTTAACACCTAGAAATTACTAGAATCTTCACAACCTGTGGTTTAAAGAATTATTGCCTAATTATAATTAGTATACGTGATTTAATTATTACAGATACTGAAATCTTGTAACGTTAACTTTACTCACTCTTTTAAGATTTCCTATGTCTGTTCACACTTCTGGAGAAGATCAGAGTTATCTACCCCAAAGTCATGTCCTTAGTTTTGACAAAAAAGGGAATGTGATCAACAGTTACTACTTTATCATATGCTGCAGAATAAAAAAGGAAACTCCCACTGTCATACTTCTAAGATTAAAAAGAACCATTATTTGCTTTTTTGGTCTTGTCTTTCTCATAAGTGAATTTTTAAGAGAACAATTTGTCTTCTTACCTGGCAAGCTTTTGCTATTATGTCTGATGGAGTATCTTGTGAAAAAGCTGGTCTTAGAGCAGCTCCCACCTATGACAATGAAATACAAGCATTTTCTTTTTAAAGATAAGTAATAATCATAAAGCTTTGTGTGTCTGGAGATGAAAACACACAAAACACATTCTTTTTCCTTTCCGTTTTGTCACCTCTCCCTTATCTTTCTTTGCAGTTACAAAAAATTCAACCAAACCATTTTTCTTGTGCTTTCCAAGAGGTGATCCATATCAAATCTCTATGTATGCTATCCCAAATAAGCCATTAATCTGTGTCTTTTCCTTTTTGTTTCATGGTAACAACAACCACAATAAATCCTATTATCAGAGATCATAAAAAATTGCTATTCTACCCCTTATTTTTTGGTCTATAGTTTTTATAAATATATTTCTAATAGCATTTACTTCATAAGTGTATAACATAAAATTCAATCAATGTAAATAACTGAGTAGTACTAAAACTTCATACAGCTACTCACTAAAAGACCTTAGAAATAATTTTTTACCTCAAAAAGGAAATATTTAAGAGAAAGTTGCTTAAAAAAACAACCCTAAAATGTGTATACTCCAGGAGAAGGGTTATGAGCTTCAAATGGAAATAAGTCAACTTCATAGATTGTTAAGTTATAGTAGATTTAATATCTATTAAATAACTAAATAAAGAACTACCCACTACCACTGAGCTAATTCTGAGTAGCAGCCACTCTATAGGACAAAGATTTTTAATGTTTTAAATTATTACAGGAACAGATTGACACATCTTTCTCTACAAAGTGCCTGATGGCCTCAAACTATGAACTTTTTGGTTAACAGACAAGCACTTATGAGTACTTACAATTGAGCCATAAGGGCTACCTAATTAAGGAATTAAATGTTGTTGCTTCCTAAATTGAGATTTCTTCCCTTATACTAGCGAAAAAGCAAAGAAACCAATAGTAGTGGGAAATGGATGAACAAACCTTTCTCTGGCTTAAAAAGCAGGCAACTAACAAAAAGGGAGTCTGCACTACATCCTGTACTGAAGGAGAAAGAACACAATAAACGACTGTTGACCAGGAAAAAGAGCATCGATTAGAAACATGTAACTTGCTTTGAAAGAACAGCTTCGAAGGGATCTAGACTTTTTCCCCAAGGTCATTACTGGTGACAAGACATGTAGCTATTCCTACGACACCGAAAGCAAACATCCATCAAGCCAGTGGAAGATGCCATCATCATCACACCCAAAAGAGCTTATCAAGTAAAATCAAAGATCAAGACGATACTCATTTTGGGTTTTTTTGGTGTGAGGTGGATGGTGCATTTGGAGTTCATTTCACCAGGTCAGACTATTAATCAAGCTGCTTTCTAATTAGAGATTCTGAAGATTGTGTAACAGTGTGTGACAAAAAAGGCCTGATTTGTGGCAGACAGGACACTGGTTTTGCCACTACAACAATCCACCTACTCACACAACCATCTCAGTGTGTCAGTTTTTGGCAAAAACAGTAGGCTTCTCTTGCCCCACACACCTTACTCATCTGATCTTACTCTGTGCAACTTCTTTTTGTTTCTGTGAATGCAGAGGATAATGAAAGGACAGTGATTTGACAAAGTAGAAGTAAAGAAATAAATAAGAGAGGTGCTGTCAGTCATCCAAAGAGATGAGTTTGAAAAATGTTTCCAAGAATGAAATCACAGATTTGACAAATGTATTAAGTGTAATGGAGAGTACTTTGAAGGCGACATGGTTGTTGTGGGGGGTGTTGTTTTTTTGGGTACTCCCTTGTATATGAGGCGTTGAAAATACCATGGCAAAAAAGCTAAAAAGAAAATACCATGGCTTGGGTCAGGTGTAACCTAGTCCCTTCCTTTTTAACACTTTAAAGAGATCCTGTACAGCAGATTTTCCCAATGCAATGCGTCCTTTGATGTCCTGACCACTGCTCCCATGAGCCTTGTTGTGGATTCTATCAAGATGAAATTCTTGCCCACTTCAATCTTTAGGATTTTAGTTTTCTTTACACCGAGTTGTAAACCACACTGAAGGCTGTAATCCTTGATCTTCATCAGCTAATTCTTCAAGTCCTCCTCACTTTTAGCAAACAAGGTTGTGTTATCTGCATATTGCAGGTTGTTTGTAAGCCTTCCTTCAATCCTCATGCTACAATCTTCTTCATATAACCCAGCTTCTCTGATTATTTGCTCAGCATACAGATTGACTAAATATGGTGAGAGGATCAACCCATACCTTCTTGATTTTAAATTATGTATGTTAAGTTAGTTACATTTAGTTAAGTCTATATTTAAATGGTATGTTTAGTATTCTATTCAGTGTTGTAGGGCAAAAAAGTTTGTGTGTAAAGAAAGAGAAAATATAATGATAAAACACAAAGAGTCTAAAAACAAATGATGAATTCCTGGTTTAGGCTGTATTAGCTTTTTGTATTATTCTTATCTTTCTGTAAATTTGAAATTCTAATAAAAAGTTTTAAAAACACAGTCCTGCATCCCGAACAAATAATTGTATACAGGTTTTCTATAGCCACTTGGGCTAGCTTCTTCACCTGTACAAGTATATTTCAGTTTAGAATGAAATTTTTAAAAATCATTTGAAAATAATCTAATTTTATGAGTAAAAGTTTTAACTGCTCCTATGAAAAGTTCATTTATCTGTCAGTATGTTAAGAGCAATTCTTTTATTATTTTTAAAATGTCTGGGCATATAAAAATATCAGCGCCAAATCCACAACACTCTTTTAAAAGGTCCTTTTATCGTTTAAGTGGCATGGTTAACTAGCTAAACACAAGACTGCGAAGCCTACACTGGGTTTCTATTCCAGTTGATCTCTACTATGCTATCACAACGGGAAAAGAGTGACGAGAGGCTTAAGCCCATTCTCTCTTCCACTGTGCACTGACTGGAACTGTGCAGCTGACAATCTACGAAAGAGCCATCTCCTGTGGGAATGAGTAGATTGCAGCTCCAAATACATTCTTCCAGAGCGTCTTTGCTCCTTTGACGGTGGCTGCAAAGATCGACTTCAAGCTTCTAAACAAAACAGAGTAACTCACGTTAGCTTGATACTGCTCCAGAATCACGTGCCCGGGAAATTCTGGCTCAGGCACAGAGGCAAATTTCTTGATAACATCTTCCAGCGCCTGGAGACCAGCCATCCGCAGCTGGTTGCTGTGATCAGTGGCAGCCATGAATGCCATCCGAATCAGGTCCGAGAGGTGAAGTACCAACAGGTCATCTAGGGAAACAGGAGACGCTTTCCAAAAATAGGTGTAAGAACACCAAAATACAAAACTCTAAACAAGTATCTCACAGACGCAATTATAATCCACATATTTAGTGTGCTTAAAACTACACTATATTCTCAAGATACCTTTCATATAATTCTTTTAAGAACACTATCAAACCTTTAAGCAAGATGGCAATGTAGATGAAGTTACACGCTGCACAGGGACACCTAAAGTAACTTAATTACTTTTCTCCAAACTAGTGTTTTAAGAACAGGGGTGGACACATTTTTCTACAAAGAACGGGACAGAAAATACTTTTGACTTTGCAGGACAAATGGTTTCTACAATAACTCTGTTGTTGTAGCAGGAAAGCAGCCATGGACAATTCATATACAAATGAGCATAGCTACCAAAAAAACTTTATTTAAAACAACAAGCAGTGAATCAGACTTGAACTGCAGACTACAGTTTTCCAACATCTACTTTAGAAGAACTGAGATTTGTAGTTAGAAATTTAAACCCACAACACGAGGAGAAAATGGCTTTTATGAACATCACATACAGGAAAGGTGTGGGAAACTGAGAACCGCGAAGACAGTGTTATGTGGGCAAATTCTCTACGCTCATATTTTAAAAAGGCTGAGAGGCTGAGACTCTCATGGAGGGAGGCCTTCATGCTCATGAGTTGGAGATGCATCCCAGTCTCATCCTCCTAATAAAGGTTATTCCCCATAATGTACCCCTGTAATGATACCAACTTTAAGGTGCTGCTTGCAAGCACATGATTGTTACTATATATGCTTGAAGGTTACCTGCTTAAACACTATCTGCCTGCAGGTTATCTGCCATCAAGAGCAATCAACCCTATTCTCTGTCCCACCCTAAGTAGGGCCTATCCATTTCTGATCAGGATCATGGACTGTCCCCTGGAGAAGGGCTCAGGAACACTTAAGGTCAAGCCAGCTCAGAGACAACCAAGGTTAGCCACACCATCTTAACTCTAGAACCCGCCCATCAGGTTACATAAGTACCTCCTGTTACATCTACATCCCTAGCACGTCCCCTTTCTGTCCCGTGTACACCTCTAATACAACCCCTTCCTGTTATGTATGTGTGTGACTTGGCTTGCATGCTGGAGATTATGTAAGTTTGTGAGAGAATACAGTCACCCCTCACTCTGGTTGCCATAGAAGAGGTGAGCATTTGCATGGCTTGTCTGTTGTTCCTTTAATTCACCCTTCAATTACACAACTGCCCCTTGGACCCATTTGGTTGTGGCGGCTGGTCCCCCACAAAACGGGAAATCTTTTTCTTTTAGCCCTGTTGTAAAGGTGGTACTGGGTCTTCCCTAACACACTTAAAAGCAAGCCTTAAAAGAATTACAAGTAATTGAATTATATCCCAGAAGAAAGTTTGACATTACTTAAAGGAATACAACAAAATCCAGCACTAACATAACATTTTCAAAGTCTGCAATCTAGTATATATATAAAAAAAAGCATGCACGCAAAGAATTAGGAAACCAATTCTCACAATGAGGGGAAACACAAAAACAAAACAAAAAAATACCAAAGAATAGAAAAAGGAACAAAAATTAAAGTCTGAATTACCAGACAGGGACTCTAACCAGCTATTATTATAAACGTATTCAAAAAGGAAAAGTAAATGCATGGATACAATGAGGAGCTCAAAACAGAAAAAATGCAAAAAAAAAACCCTACTAGAGGTGAAAAATAAAATATGAATTAAAAATACACTGGATAAGATTAACTAATGGCAATTACATATTTGTTTGGGCCCCGACCATGCAGCCGCCTCCCCCGGCTCTCCTGCTGGACTGTGCAGCCCCTTCCCCCGCCTCCCAAGGCCAGAGCTGGACTGTGCAGTCCCTGCCTCCAGCCTTCCAAGGAGCTTATCTCTCCTGGCAGGTCTGTACAGCCCCTTCGCTCAGTGTTCCCGGATGATTGACTCACAGGCAGCCTGACTCAGACCCCGCAACTGCAGCTCCAGAAGGCCTTCCTTCCCCTTATCAGTACGTGCGTCCTTGGCTCAAGCCCTGTATGTGTCTCACTGCCTCACTGCCAGGCAGGATTTCCCTGACCTAACTCATTGGGTCTCGGAGCCCGCCCCGGGGCTCAAGATGCCCCTGTCCTTCTCTGCTCTCCCTTCCCTCCTGGAAGTTCTTTCCCTGCTTCAATAAAATCTTTCTTAACTTCACATTCCTGGCTGAATTCTATCTCTGTTCCAGTTCTCCATCTCCAACCTCTCATCTTGGTACCAAAAAGACCTGGGACCGACAGGAGGGGCCTCTGTGCTGCCCAGGCCTTCCTCTGGCCAGTGCGCAGCCCCGCACTCCGTTTTCAACCTCTCAATACTGAAGAAAAAAAGATCAATGGACTTAAAAGAAACAGTAACGGAGATCGGTATTTGAATTTGCCAAGTTCAGGGAACCAAAGGCTTTCATAGTAGTAGCAAGTCTATGGCTCATAAACAGTTGATCTCCAAGCAGTTTCTATTTCCACAGACCAATTTGTGGTGGTGGCCGCCACATCAGGATTATGAAATATTATCTTCAAAATCTTCAAATTCTTACCTAAAATACTGCTTTTGGAATGTGAAATTGAAAAGAAATATCTTTTGGCTTGAAAGTGAGGGCAAGAAGAAGAAAAAAATTTGGCTAGAAGTCCTCAATGCATCCTCTGTAAAAGCATTAACTGAGGAAAGAAAAAATAAACTATCAATAATACTAAATATAAAACGAGAGCCAAAATTGGGGATTTCCAAGGGAGAAAAAACTGAGTTAAAATGGATATGTTCATATGCTAACTCACAGTATACAAAATAAATATAACCTCCGTGATAAATAATATTCATTCTTCTGCTTACATACTGTCTCCCAATTCATAAAGTGTTATATTAATCTACAAAATCCAAAACTACTGTCCCTGCAATTGTCTCTGGGACAAGAATGCTGCTTTCTTCAGCCATCGAAGTGCTGTCACGTCTTTATGATCGTTACTTCCAAGGCTGTTCATTTCAGAGAAAAAAGCCTCTGAAAACCTTATGGATAACATCCAAACCTTGTCAGATATTAAAAAACCTCATAATTAAAGGCAAAACATAATGAGAGAGAGTGCCAGCGGATGAGTATGACTGAGGAAGAATTGCCTTCTCAAACTACAGTCCACTATAATGACGTGGATAGAGTGCAGATTGTGGAAGTAAAGGCTTCAGGACCCTCATTTGCTGATGGTGCATGACTGACTTAAAACCAGAAGAAACTGCTGTAAACATCAATTAATAATCAGAAACTTGGAATGTATGGGAGTATGAGTCAGAAAATTTGAAGTTGCCGAAAATGAAATAGAATGCATAAAGATCAATATCCAAGGTGTTAGTGAGTTAGAATGATAGAACATCCTATGGTTAGCCTGCTGGGAATCACAGATTCAAAAGGAATGACATTACATTCATAGTCAAGAAAGACATTTCAAGATCCATCTTGAAGTACAAGGCTATCTATGATAGGATATTATCTATCTGCATACAAGGAAATCCAATCAATATAAATATTGTTCAAATTTATGCACGGTCCATTAAAGGTCATATGCAGAAGCTGAAGAATTCTACCAACATCTTCAGTCTGAAGTTGATCAAACACAATCAAGATCCATTGCATTCCGGTCCCGGGAAAGGAAATCATGCTGGGTGAAGCAGATGGCGAGCAAAGAGGAGGAAGGCCCTTGACAAGCTGCACGGATACAATGGCTGCAAAAGCAGGCTCAGACCTACCAACAACTGTGAGGATGGATTGGGAAATGCTGTCACGCTCTGCTGCACACCGGGGTCACTATGAGCCAGAACTACCTCAATGGTTCCTAACAACAGCAACAACAGCAACAACAACCATCGATAACTTTCCTCAAATCAGGGCGCCTCTCTCTTTTACAAACCAGGGAGAAGAACCCCCTGAAGAAATGAGATCGGGAAGAGGATACTGGGCAGAAAGGAACTGGGAATTAGTAAACCCCCAAACCCACTGTCACAGGCGCTATTCTGATTCTTAGTGACCCTGTTTGGGTTTCTGAGGCGGTAAATCTTTACGCAAGCAGACAGCTTCAACTCTCTGCTATGGAATGACCAGTGGGTTCAAACCATTGACCTTGCAGTTAGCAGTTCAACATTTATCCATGAGGGAAGTCTATGTATTCTAGGAGGAGTAGTTCCCTCCAACTAAAGCACAGTAGGTAGGGAGAGGCAGAGGACGCAGGAAGATCCTGGGTAACACATTCACTGCATGATTTACTAATTTTCATAGACCCTGACAAGATGGTTCAGAATCTGAATGGCAGATGAAACAAAGCATGGCAGGTGGGGCACTGCTATATCAGCTTACTGTGCAGCTGCAGGTGTGAAAAACCCTAATAAAAGAGAGCATAAGCAGGCCACCCAACCCCTAAAATATACAACCACTACATTCTGAACAAATTCCAAATGTGGAGAACAAGCTCCTCTTTTGAGGTCATATATATAAATATGCTTATAAAGGAATACAAGGGCAACGTCTGGTGACTCACAGAAAAGCTAACCTCTGAAAATAGTTTTCTATACAAACTAGAATAAAAATTTATAAAATCATCTAATGTCCTCATTAAATCACAATAAAGTCATGATTACCTTGGAATAAGAAATTAACCATAAAAAATGAAAAGGATAAAATGGAGGTGAGAGAAACACAGAAAATGACAGAAAACCTGGAAACACAAAAGTAGGCTTGAGATCCACAAGGGGGCAGAAAAGAGTAAACAACGATCAATCATTCAGAAAACTTGTGAGGATCTCTGAGAATGCAAGTAAAAGGAACACACACGCACACACACAACCCTTAAATACAATGAAGGCAAGCCAACACAGATTTTCATCAGCCCTGCACGATGGTATGCACATATATGCTTCCAAATCCTTTACAAATTCTTATTCCCTCTGCTTACACCATTGTCTCTGTCCA